AAGTGCGCGCGAGTGTGGGGTGTGTGTGTGTGTGTGTGTGTGTGTGTGTGTGTGTGTTTATGGTCTGACAGAAAGTAGAGGTTGGATTCCACTTGGAGGAGCCAAAGTAAGATGGCATTGAAGTCTCTCATTCATCACAAGATCACTTCAATCTGCTCAATTGTCTAAAACTCAGAAAAAGGCAAAAGTTTTTGTATGCTTAAAGGCTTTCAAGGCAAGCTGGAGAGATGGCTCAGCTGTTAAGAGCACTCCCTGAAGAAAAGGAAGGATGCAGAGGTCATGAGGAAGCAGAAATTTGAGTCAGGTGTAGATTAGAAGAAAGAACATATGACAGGTAGGATTTTAGTGGGGGGCGTGGTAGGGGAGGAAGGGAGGGAGAAGGGAACTGGGATCGTCATGTAATTCAATCTTGATTGTAATTCAAATAAAGATTTACATATTACTTTGGGATCCCCATATGTAGAATTCAATAGGAGCTTTTTGTGTGGATGAATAAACAAATGATTAATGATTTAAAAAAAAAAAAAAGAGCACTCCCTGGAGAACTGGGTTTGATTCTCAGCACCCATGTGGTGGCTATCAACAGTCCAAAACTCCTGTTGCAGAGGATCTCACTCCCCCTTGTGGCCTCTTCAGGCACACAGCTGATGCACAGGTATAAAATGCAGGCAGAACACCATACACATAAAACTTTAAAAGAAAATCCTTGTTTATATTCACTCCTAACAAAATTCTGTTGTTAGATTTCCTAGTCTACTGTGGTCTTAGTCAGGGTTTCTATTGCTGTGATAAACACCATAATCAAAAAGGGAACTTAGAGAGCACAGGGTTTATTCAGCTTACCTTTCCACATCACAGTTCTTCATCAAAGCAAGTCAGCCTGGAACTGATGCAGAGGCCATGGAGGAACACTCCTTACTGGCTTGCTCACCATAACTTGCTCAGCCTGCTTATATAACCCAGGACCACTTGCCCAGGGGTAGCACTGCTCACAATGAGCAGAGCCCTCCCACATCAAATATTAGCTAAGAAAATGCCCTACAGGCCGATCTTGTGGAGGCATTTTTATTTTTCAATTAAGATATCTTCTTCCTACATATGTCTAGGTTTGTGTGGAATTAGCAAACAAGACAAAACCTAACCAGGACAGCAACTAAGAATCAGGAATTAAGAAAGGGAACAGGGGAAGCCATGTGGTGGGGGTGCATACCTTTAGTCCCAGCACTTGGGAGGCAGAGGCAGAGGCAGAGGCAGGCAGATCTCTGTGAGTTCGAGACCAGCCTAATCTACAAGAGCTAGTTCCAGTACATCCTCCAAAGCTATAGAGAAACCCTGTCTCAGAAACAAAAAGAAAAATACAAAAAGAACAAAAGAAAGGGAACAGGGGTGAAGAAGGAAAAATCTGGCAGCATCGGCGAAGATAGGAAAGAAAAAACTTCAGACATTATAGTGAAAACTCTGAAAATGGCATTGTTGCATAATGCACAACTTTTGGTTGTATATTTATTCCCTAAGTACTGCCCGGTTGCTGGTCTTTGATGGGCATCTACTATTCATAGGGTAGAGCATTCCAGGCAAAAGTTACTCACTGTTGTCAGGTGGGCATGGTGGCCTATGCCGATAATAACAGATAGCATGAGGAGGCTGAGGTGGGAGGATCAGATGTGCAAGGCCAGCCTGAGCTCTAGAGAAAGACCCTGTCTTTAAAAATAGGCAAACAAGCAAATGGGCTGGGGTTAGATTGTTACCCTGGTATATTAGCATTTATGAAACCTAAAGGTCCTAACTATTGTCGTCTTGGGCTTCTTGCCAAAGCCTTTTGTAACCCACTTCAGACCTGTCCTCCACTTTCTCCTTCCTTCTTAGTCCCTTCCTAAGCAATGCCACTTTTGACTTCTCAGTTATAGTAGAACATGAATTACATTTTGATTATCTCCTTTTTAAAACATCATTAAAATACAACTGTTTCTAGTGAAATTGTTAGCAGATGGCATTAACTGTAGAATTGTGTGCAGTAAATACCACCTGTTTGTATTGTGCTAGGCTCTATAAAGATGAAGGGCTGTTTCTTTTCATTGACACATGGTTATGTATTCTTTAGGGACACAGTGTAATTTTCAACACAAGTGTAATGACCAGACCAGGGTAATGGCATCAACCTTTTTCAAACATTTATTGTTTCCTTGTGTTGATAACTTTCAAAATTTTATATACTAGCTATTTTAAAATATACAGCTAATCGTTGTTGGCTATAATTTCCCTATTGTGCTGTAAAACATTAAAGGTTTTTCTTAAATCAGGTAGTACCTGCCTATAATCCCAGCACTTGGAAAATGAAGGTAGAAGGGTCAGGAGTTCAAGGTCAGCCTTAGCAACATTCATTATCAGCCTGTGCTACCTGAGACCCAAGGAAGGGGGTGTGGCCCTTCCTGTTCTTCCTTTCCAGCTAACTCTGATCCTATCTCCATTTAACCCTAAGGAACCTGTCCAGTCACTGACCTCTTTCTCCCAGCCATCTTATCTCTTCCAACCTGACTGGCTCTCTCTGCCTTTGTACCCCACACATCAGATCTTAAACTGTTGTAATTAGCCTGGCTCCTACACACACACACACACACACACACACACACACACACACAGTTGTTGAGTCACTATGATCACAGAATGAAGGAAATAATGTAAGGTGTGTGAATTTTATATATAAAAAGTCAACAGGAAATCTAGTTAACTGCACTATATAAGAAGTTAAGCTAGCTGCTAATGTTTCTAAGGCAATTTCCTGGGGGCTTTGCAAGCTACTTCTTAACAATTTTTAGAATATAATAGCCACAAATGGTTCAAAATGCCTTTATTTTAAAAAATCTGTGGCAGCCTGAAGTGTATGAGTAATAATTCCGTAACAGCTGCTTTCTGATATACACGTGCAATCTGATTAGAGAGCATGGGGCCTGCACAGTTAAAACTTTTTCTTCATTATGTGTCATATGAACAGATGCCCTGTGACTTTTAAATGCCACATTCACCACTGCTCTCAGGAGGGAGAAATGGACTGTACTAACATTGGTAGTTAGTGCTCTTGTGTTCAAGTAATAAACAAAACACTATCTACTATTTGTTCCCCATTGTAATTTCAGATGCTTCACCACAAGGAAAGTGGCAGGTATAAAGTATTTCTTGGGCCTTCCTCCATATTCCCATCCATTTTTACTCATCTATATCACTCATCTGAGTGATACATACTTACCATGAGACCCAGCAACCTGTGGGCTGATTTGTATCCAAATACTTTCTCCAAAGTAACTTGAGGATGCTGTAGTGATTTCATCATCTTCACCTCTTGGTGTGAGTCCATACCAGTAGTCTACTTCACAGAGTGAGTGTGGTTCATCCAGTTTTGTTCATTCTGAGGAACACAGACAAGCAGGGGCAAGTGTGTATTGTATTCCTGACCCTTTTCATAAAAATATATAAAGGAAATTATGGCCTGGTTTTCAGAGTGAACATGAAACCTGGTCTTCAAGCTTGCTTGCTATAATCACAAACATATACCTGGAGTGAACTGTGGACTATCTACTGCTGCCTCATGGGGATATCTGTACCAGTTCTATATTTGTGCCAGAATTCTGATATACCATATTTCACTGACTGTATTAGAGACATCTTATTTCATATTACAATGTCTTTGAAGTTGAGCTTTATTTTATAGTCAGTGGTGTTTAATGATTCAATCAGTATAGTTTTTCTAAATGAAATATGTTATGCATGTGACATCTTACGCTTGAAAATGTATAAATATACATACATATACCAGAGTCATTACTTTGTTTCTGAGACCCAGTCAAGTCGGCTAATATCACAGTTATGAAAAATGACATTCTTAGTTGCATTTTACTCTTCACAGAACTGTTCTGTTAGATCTCTGCATTGAAATCATCATACTTAGTGATTTTTCTCTGTGTTTTCTGTGTCCTGCAGGAGGGAATGACCTTAATTAAGTCTAACTGGCTTTAAATCAGTTGACTTCCTTTTTTGCTATTTTCCTATTGCACTTTCAACCAGAATTTGCCCAAAATTGGTAATATATTCATTCTCTCTCTCTCTCTCTCTCTCTCTCTCTCTCTCTCTCTCTCTCTCTCTCTCTCTCTCTCTCTGTCTGTCTGTCTCTGTCTCTCCTCTGTCTCTCCTCTCTCTCCTCTCTGTCCCCCACTCCCTCTCATTTCACCATACAGCCCTTGCTGACCTCAAACTCATAGAGAGAGCCACCTGCCTCTGCTTCCCTGGTGCTGGGATTAAAAGCATGTGCCACCATACCAGGCAAGATTTCCTAATTTTATTGTTTAATGTGTAGGGTTCAGGTTCATGGCTTCACTATTCCAGTAATATTTTTCACCGGCATTAAAATACTTTACCTTTCCTATGCATGAAAGTCTATGGGAGCCAATGCGATGTCACAGGCCTGAAATGCCAGCTTCCAGTTTCTCATTGACTGTAGCTTTTATAGGTACTAAAATGTGTTTGTTAACACAGTAAATATAAAATATTTTGAAGAATTGGCCCTTTTTGATGATTCGGTTGCAACCAGTGTCACTTTAATGTATATAACCCATTTTACCAAAGAAAATGGATTATCTGACAAAGTCTTTACAGACTTAAGACATTGCCAACCCTTCTTCTTAGCCTTCCAGCCATCACACTGAGACATGCATGTCAGTGTCAAAGAGGTTACTTGTGCCTGAGGAGATGACTCATTGGAAAATTCCATGGTAGAAATTGTTACCAAAAGGAAATTGCAATCTATTGATTTGATGTGTCATCACTTCTAAAAGAAGAACTAAAGCTCTGAAAAAATGTCACTTGTCAGTTCAACTCAGTCAATTTTTCTAAATGTAGCCATGCTGCATCTTCAGCTCAGTGTGGCTTGTATAATGCTGCCTTGATTGATACACAACCTCCTCATGGATGTCTCCCCTTTCTCCACTTTGCTCCATTCTTTTTTTCAGGTCCATACGTTCCGAGGGCCACACTGGTGTGAATACTGTGCCAATTTCATGTGGGGCCTCATTGCTCAGGGAGTAAAATGTGCAGGTAAGAGCCTTTCTTCTCTCCCCATTGTGTCAGCAGCCACCTGAAGACCGGGTTTTTGTCTGATGCGCAGAGCGGTAGGGATATGTGTAAATCAGTCCCCTGAAAAGGAAGAGGCCAGCTTGTTTCAGAAGACAAAAACACGTCAGTTATATTCACCACTTGCCCTTGGTGTTGCACTAACTGCGTCTATAGTGCTTTTTTTAAGCAATGTGCCAGGACATATGATTGTTGCCTTGGAAACTGAATTTTAAGGCTGACTTGTTAGGCTGAATTGTCCTTACTAAAATTTTTTTATCGAAGTCAAAGCTGTAAAAAGTCTGCAAATTTATTCTCAAAGATGATTACCAAATTCTGGAAACCCCCTAATCATTAATATTTTCCCTTTGCTGCACAAAGATGTTCAATGTGACAAATCCTTTTGTGAAAAATGATAATGGTACTTTAGGTCCCCATTTAGAAACTTTTACCATAAAGAAATACTCAATGCAATAGGCTAGAGAGTTGACTCAGAAGGTCGAGAGCACTTGTTGTTCTTGCAAAGGACCTAGGTTCAGTTCCCAGAACCCACATGGTGACTCACAACCATCTGAATCTCCAGTTCCAGTGGATCTGATGCCATCTTCTGAACTCTGTGTGTATCAGGTACACATGTAGTGCACAGACATATATGTAAGCAGAGCACTCATACACATAAAATAAATAAATCTACATTTAAATTAAAAAATCTTAACATGTGAAAACACATTTTTAAGACAATTTAAAACTGTTTTCCAAAATTGGGATCCTAATAGCTCTAAATAAATATAATTTTCTTTGTCCTACCAGTGTGTGTATATCCACACATACACACTTCAGGAATTTTATATAGTTTGGGAAATGAAATAATTATTCTCATCATGTAAAAATTTATTTGTATACAGCCACTATTCTCAATACTACTCATTTATCCAGACTACATATTAGCATGGCCTTAATTATTATTTAAATTTTAAATCGTGGTATTTGATCTAAATATTAAATATGTTATATTTGATTGTTAAAGTTCTGCTGTTTAGTTTTTAAAACTAAAATACCTTCTTCCATGCCTTTTAGCTTAAAGCTTTTTACTCAAATATATGCTAACGGCTGGAACTGTGGCTCAGTTGGTAGAGTACTTGCTTAACATGCTCAAAGCCTGGTGTCAATCCTTACAATCTCAAAAATTAGGCATGGTGCCAAACACATGGAATTTAGCACTCTGGAGGTGACAGCAGGAGGATCAGATGTTCAAGATTATATGCAGCCAATTCGTGAGTTCAAGGCCAGCCTGAGATACATAAGACCCTGACTTTTTTTTTTCCTGAAGTATATTAAGAGTAAATTAGGGGTTGGAGAGATGGCTCAGAGGTTAAGAGCACTGGCTGCTCTTCCAGAGGCCCTGAGTTCAATTCCTAGCAACCACATGGTGGCTCGCAACCATCTACAACGAGATCTGGTGCCCTCTTCTGGCCTGCAGTCATGCATACAGGCAGAGCACTGTATACATGACAAATAAATCTTTAAAAAAACAATCAGTGTGGAAACAAAAAATATATTTTGAAAAAAGAGTAAATTATTCCAAAATGACAACAGTCAGAATTACCACCTTAAATACCCTAATTTCTCTTATCTGGTTTTCAAATTGAGTATTTTTATTGTGTATTATATGCATTTTTATGTGTTACTAAGTTGCATTTTCTTAAGAGTAGCAAAGCACAGTATGTATTGCATATATCCAAGTCACTTCTCTGATATGCAACCCCTTTGAAAGGGTAGGTTAACCCACAGGTTGGGAGCTACGGGTCTGCATGGTTGTTCAAAGGCAGATGACACACTCCGTCCACAGCAGGGTCACCTGCTCAAGGAGTAAGGGTCTTAGTCAGCCTCATTTGCCTTTTGTGAGACACCCTTGACCACTGAGAGAGTTTCCTAGCATCTGACAGTCACTAACATAAGGTTTTCTATGAATTAATGATATGTACCATTTACCTTTTGAAAGAGTGAACGCCATATACATGAGAATCCTGTCAGCCACCAACAAAAACCACACCCACTGTGTCTGAAGTGTATGTGGCAATATGCTACAGTCCCAACATTGTATTTGGAAAAAATGCCTTGGGATAACTTTTAGTGATAACGTAAGCAAGGAGAAATAAAATGATTTAACTCTACCTCCCAGCCCCACATGTATAGCCTCCATCTCTTACCGTAAGTAAAGGGCAAAAGCTAAAAGAAAAGCCTGGAGACGTTTCATTCTGTCCTTTAAAATGTTACCTAATGTAAGCACATGTCAGCCTGTGTTTTCAATACCGAGGGAGGGGCTGGAGACGTGCCTCAGCAGAGTGTTTGCCTCACATGGTTCACTCCCCAGCACACTTTTTTTTAAAAACCAGGTATAGTGTGCAGGGTTGTAATTCCAGCACTTGTGAGGTGGAAGCAAGGTCAGGATTTCAGGCTCATTCTCACCTACATAGGAAGCTCAAGTAAGCCTAGACTACTAGAGACTCTGCCTTAAAAACAACAAAAACTCCACAAACCTACCATGCTCATCTTCAGAAAACAAAAATAATTTTTATAAGTTAGCTATCTGCTTTGATAGATGTCGCCTTCCAGCACTCAGGATGCAGAGACCAGAATCTAGGCCAGCGTGGTCTACATAGTGAGTTCCAAGTCAGCCAGAGCTACACAGTGACACTCTTCTTTAAAGAAAAAAAAAAAAAACACAAACAACAACAACAAAAAAAACCCAACAACAGTTAGACTCACGTTAGTTCTGTTTTCATAACCAATTACATTTGTATTGAAAGTGAGGATTTTAGATCTAAAGTCACTCTATTTGATTTCCAATTACATTTGTATTGAAAGTGAGGATTTTAGATCTAAAGTCACTCTAGGACTCTTCTGCTCATCTGGCCTTGGAGTCCCCTACTTTATCTAAAATTCAAAGAATTCAAAGAATGAAGATTATAGAGAGCACAGACTCACTGTGATAGGTGGAATAATAGTCTCTTTTTGGGAGACACCGGGAACTTTGTAGATATGCCTGTACAGCACTTGAGATAAAGTCAGAAGGATTATGAGTTCAAAACCAGTCTGGATTTTATAGCAAGATCTGACAATAAATAAATCATGCACAGGTGCACATGTGTACACACACACACACACACACACACACACACACACACACACACACACACACAAAGGATGCGTATTCAAACAATTAATTTTCCCAAACTTTTTAAAATCATAAAATGTAAGTTTCTAGGTTCTGCTATCATTATGTAATCACTGAAGTTCATCAGATGTCCCTCTTCCAGGATATGTTATTCCCCCCCAAAGAAATTACTCTACTAGAATTCCTAAGTTGTGTTTATTTTAGCCTTGCCAGAATATTCTAAGAAAAAGGAAGGATGATGCTTGTTTTATAGCAGACATTTCAGCCTTGTTTAAACTACGAAGATTTTCATCACTATTACTGTCATTTCTGCCCTCAAACAAGACATAGCAGTTTTTCTCCTAATAACAAAAGTCGTTTTAAGTATACAGAACTTTAGGTGTGAGGAAAGAATAACCTCTGTTTTTATTAGTGCCTCAACTGGCTACACATAACAGTAGTTATTTTCCTTAAACGTTGCTGAGAATTTGAAGAATCCCTTTAAAAAGTCTCATGTGGCTTCTTTTGGTTGAAAGTAATATTTTCATAAATATTCCAAGGCATAAGCCATTTCTCTTAACTTGCTTATGAAAATATTGACTTGTGATGCCTATTAGAATGTGAGATACTGACTTTCAATAGGGGAAGGAATTGGAAGGGAGGATGGCTCAGCAGTTAAGAGCCTGCACTGCTCTTGCAGAGGGCCTGAGCTCCTAGCACTCACATCAGGGTTCCCAACTGCCTATAATTCCAGTTCCAGGGGCATCCAACACCTCTGGCCTCTGCAAGCACCTGCAGGAAAATGTACCTACCCACACACAGACACACATATACACAATTAAAAATAATGAAAATCTTTCATAGTGGAAAATACCAGAGAGTTACATTTAACAATATAATTTATTGGATGCAGCTGTAGTTCAGTGGTAGGCACTTGCCCAGCATACACGAAGCCCTGGTTCAGTCTTCAGTGCTACAGAAAGGAGAAAAATATGTTTCTTCGTATCCTTCCCCATGTATAATCTCAAAATGGAAACCCAAGCGTAAAACTTGATACATCCACATATCAAAACGCGTATGACACCAACAGTCTTACATTTTTCCTTTGAAAGTTTGCAGTCATCTTTTGGTTTTTCGAGACAAGGCTTCTCTGTGTAGCCATAGCTGTCCTGGTACTCGTTCTGTAGACCTGGCTGCCTTGAACTCACAGAGATCCATCTGTCTCTGCCTCACAAGTGCTGGGATTAAATGCTGCAGCACCACCATCTGGCTGCAGTCATCTAAACTACACCAAGCAATGACTGAGCTCAGATTTAGGAACTTAAAGACAATGAAATGTTTACTAAACAAATATTCTTTATCCTATTTGAACAATATAAAAGTATAGGATTAATTTCAAAGACCAAACTTCTAACAAGGTTGGATAGGAAGTCCTTTGGAAGGCAGGGTAAGGCAACATAAAATACAGCATCAGGAGCTGGAGAGATGGCTCGGTGGTTAAGAGCACTGGCTGTTCTTCCAGAGGACCAATTCCCATGGTGACTTACAACCATCTGTAACTCCAGTTCTAGAGAATCTGGCCCCCACTCTTTTGGTTTCCTTGGCACAAAGCATGCAAATGATGCACAGATATAATTGCAGGCAAAACACAGAAGATACAGCATCCTTTTATATTCTTGAGTTCACAATGCAGTAAAGCTGCCCGAGACATGCTCTGAAAAAATATATCAGCACACAATATTTCGGTCTGCCATTAAGCCTTTAATCCCAGCACTCAGGAGGCAGAGGCAGGTGGATCTCTGTGAGTTTGAGGCAAGCCTGGTATACAGAGTGAATTCCAGGACAGTCAGAGCTACACAGAGAGGCTATGTCTCAAAAATAAAAAAAAAAAAAGACTTTATTTTTATACATATTTACTTAAGTCATATATTGTTCTGTTCCTCTGGAAGATATTGCACTATAAATGGAAGATAAGTCCAAAGATATCATTTTCTATATCTCTTGGTTTTGTAGGTTAATTTTGTTATTAAACTACATTTCATCCTCCAGTTTCTGAAGAAATATACAACATTGCCAGACGGTGGTAGGGTATACCTTTAATCCCACCACTTGGGAGGAAGAGGCAGGTGAATCTCTGAGTTTGAGACCAGTCTGGTCTACAGAGTGAGTTCCAGGACAGCCAAGACTACAGAGAGAAACCCTGTCTCAGAAAATTAAAAAAAGAAAAAGAAATATATAACAAAGACAGGGAACAAGCAATAAAGAATCCACATTACACTTTATTCTGCATTTTCATAAAACACATATGTTACTTAGACTACTGAATTCAGGCTATCTGGTTTTATATGCACTGACTTCTCTATACACATGCATGTTGCGCTTCTAGAAAGCACAGAGACCCATGTTTTGAAGTAAATAATTAACATAATTCATTTACATTCTAATGGTAGTTAAGGGGTAACAGAATTATGGTAATGTACATTTTGTGAATATTCATATTTAAATAATTAAGAAACAAGAATATAATGTCTAGATTTTAATTGCTGCTTTTCAGGCACAGATAATTGCAAGACTGGTAAAGGTGAAATATAGCAACTTTTTTTAAAAACTCAAGAATATAGACAGGTATGATCTACATTATTGAACAAAAAACTGAAAGCAGACAAATCATTATCGGTGCCGAAGAAGTACTCAGAGTGTGTGGTATGTTGTGGGCAAGGAGGAGTGAGTCCCAGCACTCAGGAGGCAGAGGCAGGCAGATCTCTGTGAGTTCAAGACCAGCCTGGTCTACAAGAGCTAGTTCCAGGACAGGTTCCAAAGCCACAGAGAAACCCTGCCTCAAAAGAGAGAGAGAGGGAGAGGGAGAGAGAGAGAGAGAGAGAGAGAGAGAGAGAGGAATATCAGAAAAGAAATACTGCTGTAAAAAGAACTGAAGAAAATCTTGGCAACTGGACACTGATACCTGAGAGGATACCTGGGCAATGGACAAGCAGCAGGACACAAGAAGGAATCTGTGAAGCTGAAGCCCAGATGTTACACAGTTCAAGCATGTGGGGAAAATATGTAAAGTCAACTGAAAAGGATGGCAATGAATGACAGAGAACCTGCCTGACCTGTGGGAGGGTGGGAGCCCACCACCATTACCCATGAGAACAGGGCCTGAGGTACCCACAGGAAAGGAAGGGTGAGTATTCGCTACTGAGATCTCAGAGCGTAGAGTGAGAGACTGGTAAAATACCTTAAAGGCAAATTACTTGAAAAATCACCAAATTTGGTGAATTCAGAGAGAAATTATGCATTTAATTACTTGAAGATGCTTTTCTCTAAATGTAGTATATGAAGAACAGTGTAGATATGAAGTCTACAACTCCAGTTACTCAGACCCATCTTAGGACTTTGAGTTCTGTTTAGCCTCTGACCTTCAGCGGGTTATGACAATGCCTGCAACACACTTTGCAGCATTGCCTTGAAAAGGCTCTAACATCAGTCAGTACACATTACTACCCAGAACTCTGTACATACAGGAACAACAAGGCTTGCACAAGCTAAAACGAAGCACAGTTCTTACTGTTTTATATAACTAAACACAGAGAGTGTGATACCTCACTCCAGGTTACATAGATTTTTAGAACAAACATCAGATTTTACAAGTCCTCCAGAACTTTCGAATGGTTGGAGGAAAGAGGTCTTTTCACTGTGTGTTTGGAGGAAAGAGATCTTTTCACTGTATGTGTGGCCACTGGTTTCCCTTATGGTCAAATTAGAAATCCCTCGTGGTGTGTAAGATATGGAGAGGGGTTTCAGTTTTGGTCGTGCAGTCATTAGTGCTGCTTCATTTCTTCAAGTGGCAGATTGAGGCCTTTGGTCAGGAAACCTTTCTATCCCAAGCAGTGACAGTGTTTGATGTGACTCACAGTGGTGTTGTCCTCTCTGGGATGTTCACTTAGGCCCACATATGCAAGAACCCAGCTCCTTATAGTGCATCTGCTCAGTAGTGACATTTCTAGGAATGTCACTCTCCCTCCCCTTCATGCTGCAGATGACAGCAAAATGAAACTGCCCAAGAGCCAAGGCAGCTGCCAAGGCATTCTCGGTTTCTCAAGATGATTTCACTAAGGCCTGGCCATGAACTGCATCTGCTTCATTTAAACTAGTTTTGTAAGTAGTCCTGGTAAGAGTATTAACAAATAGAAAGGTTATTTTTTAAAAAACATAAAGATGGCATTTGTTTTAGTTGAATTATTTATTCAGTATATTTTATCACTTGAGTCTCATTTAGCAGAACACTTTTGTTCTTCTTCATCCATTATAAAACTTCATTGTACTCTTGTTATTGAAAAGGGATCTCAAATATTAACCAAGAAGTTCTTGAGTTCTGGTGCCCAAGATGTTACAGCCCTGCAAAACCAGAGGAGTAACTTCAATAGAGGCAATCTGACATGGGGACTTGAGGGCTCCAGTCACCTGTAGGGTGGAGTTCCAGCTCCACTGTGTACCTTGGATAAATTCCTTAACTTGGTTTTTTCAGATATAAATAGGAAATGAGAAGAAAAAGTAGCTATTTGATAAATCTTTGTGGTTTTAAAGGAAATAATAAAGACAAGGCACTTGGCAATAATATTAAGTCCTCCATAAATGTTAGCTATGGATCATAGTAAAAAGAATGGTAATGACTATTTTAGACTACCCAAGAAATTATATGTACTCTTACCTTTAAAAAGGGGTTGTGAATAGTTATAATTAAGAACAGGTTTATTTTAAGACTTTGAATACTCTTATTTTGAATGTCCAATTCCACGTATATCAAGTGATACAGTAGATGTAAATTTTCTTGAGCTGTGCCACTATATCAAAGAACCTCCTACTAGATAATATACAAAGAACAAGTGTTAGATATACCAGAGTTCTTAGGTAGAGAGTTCAGGGTACCAGCACTTGGTAGGGGCTCTTGGCTGTATCCTCCAGGTCAGAGTGGAAAGTCAAGAAAAGACAGAAAAGAGAACCCTCTCCCACAGGCCTCTTCATAGTAACACTAGCCAATTGTGTAAAGGGCCCAACACCTCCCAAAAGGCCATGCCTTTCAATGTGTCATAAGAATTTTGACAAAAACAAACATACTCAAATCTTAGCATTGTTGATGTGATATTCTATTATGTATAATTATTTAACTCTTACTGGTTTTAGTGTAGGGAATATATCTTGATTTTGTTTTTGCTTCTTCTGGGGTCATTCAGAAAGTCAAATAATTAAGTTATTCTTATCAACAAGAATTCTTGTTAGCAATAATCCTAGCCTCTTCAAAAGTGGTGGCACATGTCTTTAGTCTCAGAATTCAGGAGGCAGAGGCAGCTAGATATCTGGAGGCCAGCCTAGTCTATGTAGAGAGTTCCAGATCCACCAGGGGTCCATAGTGAGACTCTGTCTCAAAAAGAAAGAAAATTCTGGCCTCCAAGATCTAACCACACTTTTCTAGAATGCCCAGAGTGAAAATCATCATGACTTTTACCTTCATTCTTTTCACAGATTGTGGGTTGAATGTTCACAAGCAGTGTTCTAAGATGGTCCCAAATGACTGTAAGCCAGACCTGAAGCATGTGAAGAAGGTGTACAGCTGTGACCTGACAACGCTCGTCAAAGCGCACATCACCAAGCGGCCAATGGTGGTAGACATGTGCATCAGGGAGATCGAGTCCAGAGGTGAGGGGTTTCCAGTCCAGGGAGATTAAGTCCGAAGGTGAGGGGTTTCCAGTACAGGGAGATTAAGTCCGAAGGTGAGGGGTTTCCAGTACAGGGAGATTAAGTCCGAAGGTGAAGGGTTTCTGGTCCAGGCTGCTCTGGCCTCTACTCCCTCCCTTCTGGTGCCTCATCTGGTGCTGCTCTTGTATTCAGTGACAGTGATGGGAGAGAATGGTGTCAGAAAATGTGTGCTCTCCAAGTCTGCTGTGTACTAATAAGCAAACAGCTTGATTTCCAGGAACATTTAACCCGTTATGGAAAGTAATATTTAGGTTACATTAATGGATGATACCTGCAGTCTACAAAGATCTCTGGGAAGAGATGGATTCACTTTTCAGGTTTTAAATTCTACTCAGGCCAAGAAGCAAAGGCAGAAATGACCTATTAAAACACAAAGACCAAAAACCTGAGCTGCACCCTAATTATTCTTACCCACTTGGGAAAACTGCCACAGGCCTGCTGGTGCAGGCTCTCTAGGTCTTCTGTTATGTAAAAGACTTTATGATAGAATTGGGTGATGAACGATTTCCCTTAAGATTTAATGTTACCTGATCTAATTAGGCAACATGATGGCCAAATTATAAATATCCAGGTGACAGTGGGTCAGGAGTGAAAACTGAGTGAAACAGATTCTTTTCAGGAGGAAAGTAGGGAAAGGCTTCCAATTGTGTGTGTCTTAGTATTTTTTTCTAATACATCGTTTGTCCAGCTTGAAGTATGAAGAAAAATTAAAATGTGAAGAAAAATGTGAATTAATAGAAAATTAGTTTCCATGATTTATTTTCAGGTCTTAATTCTGAAGGACTGTACCGAGTATCAGGATTCAGTGACCTAATTGAAGATGTCAAGATGGCTTTTGATAGAGGTATGTTTTTAGCATAGACATTAACTTCAGATGGTCATACTATGCAAAAAAGTCACAATTTCTTATGCTACTCTTAATTTTCTAAATGACTGGTGATTACCATATTCTGCCAAAGAGTCTGATAGGCACAGTGGCACATACCTGTGAGCCCAACAATTGAGAGATAGAAGCAGAAGGATCAGGTGTTGAAGGTCATGTTTGGTACACAGTGAATTTGAGCACAGCCTGTCTCAAAAAGACTAAGCTTAACAAACAACAACAAAATTCAACTTACAGTTTCTTGTCTTTGCATCAGCTGCCTTAACCCGTCAATTTTAATGTTGAGAAGGAAACCCGAAGCTTATCTGTATCATCAGCATTTGAATATCTAAGACTGGTCCAAATTTATCACAAAGAGAAATGAGTTAAATTTACCAAAACCACAGAAAAGGCGGGAGAAGATGTAACCGTCTCACCTGCCCCAGCTGGAGTTAGTCCACTCAGCCCTCCTGTGAACTACAGTTCTCAGGCCTCTGTGTGACTGACTCACACACAGGAGCCAGAAGCTGAGGGAAGCTGAAGTTCTGGCCTGAGTCCTGCCTGCTGTGGGAGTCCGTTGGTTGTTTATTTTGTTCTGCATCATGCAGAGGGGTGAGGTAAGATCTTGCTTGTAGCTCTGCATGGCCTCAAACTTGAGATCCTCCTGCCTCTGCTTCCAAGTGCTGGGATTTGCAGGAATATGCCCAGTTTAATTGGACTTTAAAAATAAACATTTAAGGTTTGATTGGTGCTGGGTGTGGTAGAGCACACATTTATTCCCAGCACTCGGGAGGCAGGTGGTCTTTAGAGTGAGTTCCAGGACTGCCAGGGCTACACAGAGAAACCCTGTCTGAACCCATTCTGTAGACCAGGCTAGCCTGAAACTCAGAGATCCGCCTGTCTCTGCCTCCCCAGTGCTGGGATTAACAGCATGCGCCACAGCCGCTTCTCTCTCTCTCTCTCTCTCTCTCTCTCTCTCTCTCTCTCTCTCCCCCTCCCCCTCCCTGTCTCCCTCTTCCCCCTCGGTGTTGGGACAGGGAGAAGGTACTGTGGATTGAACCCAGGGCCTCATACACTAGGCAGGTGCTCTACCAATAAGTCCCACCGCAGCCTGAAAATAAGCAAACTTCTAGTTCTGTCATACATTCCTGTTGACAATCTTCTCATAAGCCACAAAAACAGAAGACAAAAATAATGAACTATTACCAACTTGCAAAGGGGAATGTAGACCAGCCTAAGTGTTTTATACATGCAAAGACAATAAAATAATGATGTGTTGTATAAAAATGCACATCAAGGAGGATCCTGGATCCATGTGAGGACAAATGGTAGGAGGCATTTCCTTTATCTGAAAGGCAACAACTGAACATGTCCCCTCCCAGCCTGCAGTCATGAGTTTCAAAACTACATAAACACTGGAAAGAAACTAAAAATCGCATCAGCCACAGAAAGCAAATTAGTGATGCATTTTCCATCATTAAACATTATGACACCTTTTTCTAACACTGCTAACAGATTTTAAGATTCCCAATAGTTTCTTAGGCTCCACATGGTCAGGTCTTTGGGGCCCACTCTAAACCTCCTCCAGGACTCGTGCTGTAGTCATTTATAAGAATTATAGAAAGAGTTTTAACACAGGTGGAAAAACCAATAGTGCAGATCATTTAAATCCGTCATACACATAAATGCTGCCCAAATCTCTCAATGTTCAAAGCAAGTTTCAAATAAAATAGCCAAGTAAGTAAAGTGAAGTAATTAAGAGGGATCAGTTCCAGGAAGCTTAACTTTCAAATAACGAATTTGAAGGAGGAAGATAGAGTCCACAGAGTGTTGGCATGGACTCTTTAGTCCAGGAATCAAAGTAAAGACAAATTTGGGGATCTCTTGCCTTACCTAGGTGACAGTCACCAGCTGGAGCACTACCTATGGTAATGTCAGCAGGTACCATTACACTTTGCTACATTCTGTCTTCAGGTAGGACTACAAATACTAGATGGTGGGTACCTGAGAGGCCATCGTGGAGCCACAGCCCAAGATCCCAGGGCATTAGTTAGCCAAGAGCTGAAAGGGAAGGAACGAATCAGGAACAAAGATGTTACAGGCTGCTGGAAAGTTGTAGTTCTGCAAATAAAGCACAGTCCTGGATTTCACATTCCAGGTTGTCTATATTATTTTTTAACAGAAAATAATTTAAAGTGAGACAAATGAAAGACAGTTGTGTGTGGGTTCTTATTAAAATTCAGGTTGAGAGCTGGGCGATGGTGGCTCATGCCTTTAATCCCAGCACTAGGGAGGCAGAGGCATGTGGATCTCTGAGTTTGAGACCAGCCTGGTCCACAGAGTGAGTTCCAGGACAGCCAGGGCTACACACAGAGACTCTGTCTGGAAAAACAAAACAAAATTCTGGTTTAGAATCAGGCATGGCTATTCATATCTTTAATCCCAGCACTCAGGAAGCAGAGGCAGGTGGATCTCTGTGAGTTCTAGGTCAACCTGATCTACATAGCAAGTTCCAGGACAGCTAGGGCTATGTAGAGAGACCCTGTCTCAAATAAATAAATTCAGGTTTGTTTGTTTTAAAGAGATGGCTTAGTGGGTAAAGGCACTTAACCACCATGCCTGTTCTGGTTTTGGCAACTTTACACAAACTAGAGTGATCTGGTAAAAGGAACCTCAGTTAAGAAACTGCCTCCATCAGATTGCCTTTGGCAAGTTTGTAGTGCTTATTCTTGACTAACTAATATATGTGGGTCCCACCCAGGGTCAGGGATGCCACACCAGGGCAGATGATCCTGGGGGTACAAGAAAACAAGCTGAGCAAGCCAGTAAGCATCATTCTTCCATGATCTCTGCTTTAGTCCAGTCTCCAGACTCATGCCCTGAGTTCCCTTCTGTCCTTGCTTCCTCCAAGTAAACCCTTTCCTCCCTGAGTTGATTTTGGTCATGGTGTTTCATCACAACAGTAAGAACCCTAACTAACCAGTTCCTGACAACCTGAGTTAAAGGAGAGAACCAACTCCTAAAGCTCTCCCCTGACTGCCACATGCATTCAATGATACATGCAAGCCAACACATGTACATACACACAAAATAAATAAATGGAATTTTTATTCATATTTTAATACAACAGATAATGTTCAGTAGTACTAGCATATTGTATTAAACTAAACTAGGTGAAAAGATTATATATTGCATGACCCATACATGTGACATAGCCAGACTATGCAGACTGATGGCAGGGAGGTAAATTACCCTTTGCATGGGTCAGGGCAAGGGCCAGGGGGTAGTGATAACAGATATGGGGACTTCAGAGGGCATAAGAAAGTTCTAAAATCAGACTATGATAGTAGTCATACAACTTGATAAGTACATGAAAAACAATTGAATTGTATACTTTAAATGATTAATTATATGATATGAAAATTCTATCAATAAAACTTGTTTCTAAGCTGGGTGATGGAGGTGCATGTCTGTAATCTCAGCACCCAGGAGTCAGAAGCAGGTGACTCACTTGAGTTTGAAGCCAGCCTGGTCTACAGAGCAAGTTCCAGGACAGCCATGGGTACACAGAGAAACCCTGTCTTGGGGCGGGGCATTGTGACTTGTTTTTAAAACTAAAAATGTTGCATACAAAGTTTAAATCAGGTTTTAAAAGAATTATCTATAGTAAACCCAAGAGTATTAGTCTTTTAGGCTCCTAGCTTTGTAAAATTTTATTTCTTCTGGTTTAGTCACTCAGAAATTACATTAAGGTACTGCCGTATGCCAGGCACTGAGTTATTTACTCTAATTTAGTAGGTAACTTGAGTTCTTAGTCCTTACATCTGTGTAGGACTCACACTAAGCACATGCTGGTAATTGACTTCATATTTCCATAAAGGAAAATATTAGTAAGTGGAAAACTTAACATAGTCTAGCAGAGCAAGTGACACTAGTGGTTAGGAAAGGCTTCCCAAGGAAGAAATATGCACGCTGATACTAACCTGATGATGAACATAAAGCAGCTGTACAGGGAAGAGTAAAAAGCCCTCGTAGCAGCCCAGAGAAGAGTGAAGACACGACAGTGACACTGCATCCTAGAGAAGAGTGAAGACACTGACACTGCATCCTAGAGAAGAGTGAAGACACTGACACTGCATCCTACAGAAGAGTGAAGACACTACAGTGACACTGCATCCTAGAGAAGAGTGAAGACACTGACACTGCATCCTACAGAAGAGTGAA